ATTTCCTGCAGTGACCTGATGGATGTGAGTGAGCTCCATCCTGCTTGGGAGTGTCGTATAGTTTGTGTAAAGAAATGCTGAAGAAGCTCAGAGCAGGAGAAAATCATTGCAAGAGGAAACGTTAATCTTTGTTTTGACCTTGAAGAAAATAGAACTGAACCAATTTAGTTCTATGATGGGGCCTCTGATTAATGGTAATTCTTCCGCCTATGGCTTTAGCCAGAAATCTTTTTTTTTTTTTTTGAGACAAAGTCTCACTTTGTCACTCAGACTGGAATACAGTGGTGTGATCTCACTGCAGCCTTCGCCTCTTGGGTTCAAGTGATTCTCCTGCCTCAGCCTCCTGAATAGCTAGGATTATAGGCACATGCCATGACTTCCAGTTAATTTTTGTGTGTGTATATATATGGATATGTGTGTATATATATATATTTATGTATTTTAGTAGAGATGGGGTTTTACCCTGTTGGCCAGGCTGGTCTCGAACTCCTAACCTCAGGTGATCTGCCCACTTCGACCTCTCAAAATGCTGGGATTACAGGTGTGAGCCATGCCAGACCAAGCTGAAAATTTCTCTAGGTGTTATCATGGATTCTTCCTTCTTTCTCCCTCACTCCCTACAACATCTAATTGATCACTAAATCAAATTGGAGTGTACAAATTGGACTATATTGCTGCTACCCTTAAAACTATTCCCTAGCTCTCCCTGGTCTACAGGAGAGTGTTCCAAACTCCTTGACAGGCATTTCCGGCCATCATCCTTCCTTTTGTGTGTTACGTCCAAGTGATACGAAATAACTCAGAGCTCCCGTATGGTCATGTTTCCAGGTGTTTGTATAAGTTTCACCATATAGCAACAGTGCCACTCCTCTGCTTTTGTTAGTTAACTCCTCCCTATCCTTTCGGACCTAGCTCAAGTGTCACTTCCTCAGGAAGCCCAGCTTTCCACAGGGGTTTGCTGAGCTAATCTTTGCAGGCTGTGAGCTAGGTGTTTTGTGTATAAAACATACAAAGTACTTGTCCTCATGGAGCTTATGTCTAGTAGTAAGTGCTAATGTTAAATGTTTGGGAGGACAGACACTAGATATGAAAGCACCCAAACATATAGCAAAAATTGTGGGAGGTGCCTTGAAGGAAGAAAACAGAGAACAACAAAAATAGCTAAAGGGTAGGGATAGGGGTTGGGTGTGGGAAAGGGGTATACTGTAAGGAGAAGGCTGAGGAGGTCACAAATAGATACCTGAGGAATGAGAATAGCTAGTCAGGTAAACTAGGTGGTGCGATGGGGAGTCGCAGAGGATTGTGGTGGGGAGAGTGTTTTGGACAGAGGGGACTAAAGGACTGAGCACATAGGAAGGGTCTCAGCAGGGAAGAATCACTGATGCACTGTAGGACCAGAATGCAGGTTAGTGGAGCTGAAATTGATGGGCTGTGGACAGAGTGATAGGAGGTGGAGCTGCAGAGGACGGAAGGCTAGTTCCTGTGTGACAGCATATGCCCTGATACAAAGTTTGGATTTTTTTTGAATGCATAGAAGTCCCTGAAGCTTTCCGAGCAGAGAAATAACTTGATTTCCTTCACGTTTTAAAAAGACCACTCTGACTACAAATTGGAGAATGTCTTGGAGGGAGGCCAAGGGTAAAAAGAAATGATGGTGCCTCAGTCTGTCTTAGGAGTCCCCTGACATGTTCCTGAAGCACCTGGTGCTTATTTAAGCATAGCACTTTTAATCATGGTTGCAATTTTCTCTTTACTTGTCTATTGCTTCCACCAGTCTGAGAGTTCCTTGAAGGTGGGGATTGTTCTTTCTCTCGCTCCTTCCTTCGTTCCCTCCTTCCCTCCTTCCCTCCTTCCTTCCTTCCCTTCTTTCCTTCTCTCTATTTTCTTTCTCTCTCTCTCTTTCTCTCTCTCCTTCCTTCCTTCCTTCCTTCCTTCCTTCCTTCCTTCCTTCCTTCTCTCTCTCTCTTTCTTTCTGTCTGCCTGTCTGTCTCACGTTCTGCTGCTCAGCCTATAGTGCAGTGGTGTGATCTTGGCTCACTGAAATCTCTGTCTCCCAGGTTTAAGCGATTCTCCTGCCTTAGCCTCCCATGTAGGTGGGATTACAGGCTCACTCTTAGAGCCCCGTTTGAACCCTCCCTTTAAAGCTAGGAGCTGGCAAGCACTCAACTCTCAAAAGGATGTACACCACACCTGGCTAATTTTTGTATTTTTAGTAGAGTTGAGGTTTCATCATGTTGGCCAGGCTGGTCTCGAACTCCTGACCTCAAGTGATCCGCCCACCTTGGCCTCCCAAAGTGGGGATTGTGTCTTTTATCTTCATTTCATATAATAGGTGTACTTTTTGTTGTTCTTGTTGAGACAGAGTTTCGCTCTGTTGCCAGGCTGGAGCGCAGTGGGATGATCTCAGCTCACTGCAACCTCAGACTCCCTGGTTCAAGTTATTCTCTTGCCTAAGTCTCCTGAGTAGCTGGGATTACAGGCACACATCATCATGCCCAGCTATTTTTTGTATTTTTAGTAAAGATGGGGTTTCACCATGTTGGCCTGGATGGTCTTGATCTCCTGACCTTGTGATCCACCTGCCTCGGCATCCCGAAGTGCTGGGACTACAAGTGTGAGCCATCGTTCTGGGCCAAATGTACTTTTTAAAGAATGAAAAATCATGCCTTGAAGTAAATATCAGATCCAAATTTTCTTTCTCTAAGTCTCTAGATATTTCTTCTGGCAAATAAAAAGTCCCTATTAAGTAGACTATAAAATCTTTTTTTTTTTTCAGACAGAATCTTGCCCTGTCCCCCAGGCTAGAGTGCAGTGGTATGATCTCAGCTTACTGCAACCTCTGCCTCCCAGGTTCAAGTGATTCTCATGCCTCAGCTTCCTGAGTAGTTGGGACTACAGGTGCTGGCCACCATGCCTGGCTATTTTTTTTTGTATTTTTAGTAGACATGGGGTTTCACCATGTTGGTCAGGCTGGTCTCGAACTCCTGATCTCAGATAATCCACCTGCCTTGGCTTCTCAAAGTGCTGAGATTACAGGCATGAGCCACCATGCCCGGCCTAGACTATAAAATTCTGTAAGCCGTGTTTGTTGAAGTAGAAAGAACATTTTAGAGGTCTAGGTAGACCTCTTTCTTGCTGGAGGTGTGTGGACAGTAGACAAAGGGAGAATTGTTTGACTGGAGTTAGTTGGTTCAATAGCAATTTTTATTTATTTATTAAAAAAAAATTTGTGGCCGGGAGCAGTGGCTCATGCCTGTATTCCCAGCACTTTGGGAGGCTGAGGCGAGCAGATCACGAGGTCAAGAGATTGAGACCATCCTGGCCAAAAAGGTGAAACCCGTCTCTACTTAAAAAACACAAAAATTAACTGCGCATGGTGATGCGCGCCTGTAGTCCCAGCTAATCGGGAGGCTGAGGCAGGAGAATTGCTTGAACCCAGGAGGTGGAGGTTGCAGTGAGCTGAGATCATGCCACTGCACTCCAGCCTGGCGCCTGGTGACAGAGTGAGACTGTGTCTCAAAAAAAAAAAAAAAAAATTTGTTTGAGATAGGGTCTCGTTCTTTCACCCAGGCTGGAGTATGGAAGTGCAGTGCGATCATGGCTCACTGGAGCCTCGACTTTACTGGATCCTCCCACTTCAGCCTCCCAAGTAGCTGGGACTACAGGTGTGCACCACCATGCCTGGCTAATTTTTAAATTTTTAATTTGTAAAGTTGGGGTTTTTGCCATGTTGCCCACACTGGTCTTAAGCTTTGGGGACCAAGTGATCCTCCCATCTTGGCCTCCTAAAGTGTTGAGATTACAGTCTTGAGCCACCATGCCTGGTCCACAATTTTTCATTAGTGGAGTTTTTTTTTTTTTTTTTTCTAAGTCATGAAAAAATTCTACATGTAGAGAGAAGATAGCTAAACTTGCCACATTCATCAGTATAAAAACAAAGCAAATACCTTTTGGGCAGCACCGTTCTTAGAGCCCTGTTTGAATCCTACCCCTAAAGCTCGGAGCTGGGGTAGGAGCTTGGGTAAGCTCTCAACTCTCAAAAGGATATACAATGAGAATTTAGACACCAGGCACCCATTTCTGCACAGTACCACAATAAGATACAAAATACAACACGTTGAGTGAATGAATTAAAGATACATATGATAAAATAAATTTGGTGTTTCATAAAATCATTTTGGAGGCAGGAAAACTCATTAGATTGTGAAGATGAATCAGGGTGAGAACAGAGCATCACTCACGGCACAGTAATTCCACCGTTGTTGTGGGGCTCTGTGGGGAGGGTGGATTGATGATGATCCCTTCTTTATTGAGATTTTGGGCTCACATCTCATTTACGTTTTTGCCTGCCAGATGGCAGAGCCTTTATTTGTCATTGTATTTCTTAGACATTTCTTGATCTCTGCAGCTTGAGTGCATGGATGCTGAAGTGGTATCGTAAGTATGCACAGGAAACGCATCAGTAAACACTGATAGAAAAAAGACAATGCTGAGGGCAGGAGTTTATTCTGCAGGATAACAGGGATGAAGCTAAGAAAAGGCAAGATGGATGTTCAATATCAGAAAAAGTACGCTTGCCATTCAGCTTTAAGAATAACTTCCCAAGGGAAGTTGTGAAAATCCCACTACTTGAGGCATTTGAGAACAGATTGGATGATGTACTGGAGATTATCCTGTAGGGAGTCAAATGTACTCTGATCCAGGGAGTGAACTAAAATAGCCACAAAAACCACAAAACGGTCTTTTGTGGTTTTGATTCTGGGAGTCCAGTCAGGCCTTGCTTTATTGAATCCTTTGCTACAACCACTGTGAATTTCCCCAAGCTGAGCTGAAGAATTGTACTTTAGAGTATGAGCCTTGGTGGGCCTGCAGGCCCATGGCCTGGCCAGCTAAGGGGCTAATCAGGTATAGCATCTGTCTTACAGAATTCCACAGGTTTATGGTGCAGTTTCCCCACTCCTCTTCCCTCCGGCTCCTCTTTCCCTCTCTCCCATCCTCAGGAAGAGAATGAGTCACCTTGGTCTTCCTGTTGCAGTGCCTACTCTCTGCTGCTCACTGTGCTGTGGTTTGGCATTTGAAGGAGAATATGGCTTTAAGACCACCAGGCAACACGAGACATGGAAATACTGAGTGCTGCCAACCGTTGCACAAGTGGACAGGCCCTGAGAAGCCTGTTGAGTTGCTATGGAAAGCCCCTCCCTGCTCCTGCTCTGGGATGCCCAGAGATGTACTGGGGGTTCTGGGTCTTCTCTGTTTTCTAGCTATTGTTAAGGATTGATGCCGTAGAGGGGAGGGAGGTTTTAATTCCCTAAGGACAGACCAAACATGTCTTTCAAGTTCAGCGGAGACTCCAGAGTGAACTGTTGAAGGCCTGCTGCTCATTCTTCTTTCTTCTCCTAATTAATGGCAATTGGGCTAAAAATATATTTGGGGACAGTCTCTGAAGCTGTAGCTGCGACAAGTTGTTGATATAGTTACAGAACTGCGTCTGAGACAAGCACAGAGGCCTGGGCAAGTCGAGAGGCTGAGGGGGACTTGTTAGTGAATTCTTGGGGAGTTTTCTCCTCATTACTTCTGTGTATTTCACACTTTCTCAGTTGATTGGGATGTGCTGTTAAGTTTCCCACTAGTAGACTCTGGCCATTTATGGTTATCACATTTAAAGTTTCAGCCACTTGAACTGAAAGTCCATTCTATAAGGTAAAATGCATAACTTTGCCAAGGCATGAATTGGAATCACAACATTGCTGAGTAGTTGTGCCTGAGTATCTGTTACCTAGTGACCAGACCAGCTGGTGCCTAGCCTCTACATCTTACGGTAGCCCTTTTCATTCTTTCTTCTTTATTCTGTGTGAGAAGTTTGGGAGACATATCCTTGGTGAATGCCATGATCCTTAATTGCCTCATGACTAGGAGCCCAGCCCAGCCTTCCTAAACATGCATCATCATAAAGAAGACCCAAGGAGCGGTCAGAACAGCACACAAACTTGTTCAGCCACATTTACTCCTCTTTTATTATGAGCCAGGCCCTATGCTGGGTGTCATAAGAAACACACAGATTAGTACAACCTGGTTCTTGCCCTCAAAGAAAATGCAACCAAGGAGGGTGGGAGGGAAAAACAAGGATAAAAGAGACCATACTATAGGCCAATGCCAGATAACAACTCTGGGGATGTTTTTCAGGACTAATAACCAATTCTCTGGGTACCAGCTAAGAGTTCAACAACTCACTTCTGTCCTATGGAGTTAGAATGCACCATCCTCCTGGCACATGGATGCGTTTACCAATCCAGAAGTTCTCTGAACCTTGCAGGTTCCACTATCTCGGCATGACTGATCAAATCACCGGTCAATGGTGATTAACTCAATCTCCAACCCTTTTTCTTTTCTTGAGGTTGGGGAGTAGGGCTGAAAGCTTTAAGCTTCCAATCAAGGCTTGGTCTTTCTGGCAACCAACCCACATCCCAAAGGTATCTAGGGTGCCCAGCTACTAGTCATCTCATTAGCACATAGAAGACACTCATCACTCTGGAGACTCCAAAGGTTGTAGGAGCTGTGTACCAAGAACCAGGAGTAAAGAACAAATAACTTGTTTTTTTTTTATTATACTCCAACTACCATAAGGAACTTACAACGAAAGTGTTACATGGTTTCAAAGGGAAGAAAGATCGCATCCATTTTTAAAGTCCTCATATTGCAATATCTTGTGATGGTAAATAATTTGGACTCTGCCAACCCTGGGTTTGACTCGCGGGGCAAATCTCACAGTCACTCTTCTGCCTCTTTATTGGTATCCTCAGTCCATGAAATGGAGCAAAGTCAATTTCCCTGGAAAGAGTGTAAAGCACCTCAGAACTCTTACAGGTCTGGGGCTTCTTACTGTAGAGTGTTAATTTATTTGCCTGTCTGTTCAGTCCACTACAGAGCTTAGCTACATTGCCATTTTTTGTTATTGTTTCTAGAAACCACAATAGATGAGGAGATTACGGCTTGAAACCCAAAGTCCCATTATCTGTCAGCCTGTGAGAGATAAAAAAATGCCACCAGTGTATCCAGAAAGTCATTTCTCAGTAGCCATAGGTGACAAGAATTACATTTCTTTACCAGGACATCTTGATGTGGCACATCATAAATATTCAGATTCTGTAGACCTTTAAAAAAGATACAATATCTCCTTTCTTGTATAACACTCACTTCAAGGTCAGATTCAGGATGGCTCAAAGCCAGGAAGTAGGAATTTTTATACTTGAGAGAAAAGGGGCAGTTGGGGAGTGGGCTGAGGAAGCAGAAACTGAAAAGTGAAGCCAGGCTTGACTTCAGCAATCAATGGGTGAGGTGTGGCGTCCTTTGACCCAGGCTGGTGGGGCCTCTCCTCTGGGCCCATGCTTTCCAGAGCCTGGCTCTGGCTCTCCTCCGGCTGTGTCTTCCTCCTGGGATGAGAAGTTCAGGAGACCAGGAGTGTGCCCACCTGGAGCCCATGCCCCCACTACTTCTAGACCAAGCTTGTCCAACCTGTGGGCCATAGACTGCAGGCTGCATGCGGCCCAGGATGGCTTTGAGTGGGTTTACAAATTTGCTCCAATGCAAATCTGTAAACTTTCTAAAAACATGAGATTTATTTGGTGTTTTTTTTTTTTTTTTTCTCATCAGCTATCATTAGTGTTAGTATATTTTACATGTAGCTCAAGACAATTCTTTTTCTTCCAATGTGGCCCAGGAGAACCAAAAGATTGGACACCCCTGTTCTAGACCATGCTTCAGTGTCAAGGACATTGGGATTCCCTGCCCAAACACTAAGAGTTGCCCTTTTGAGGGCTAATAGTGCCATCTGTGTGCCTAGAGGGTGGGGCTGATGGGTGGCTGTTTGGCAGGGACCATAGTTGCAGGGAGACAGAGATGCACACATGCATATGGAAGAGGTCTTTAGGATCTGAGCAAAACTAGAAGAGGCATGAGAGAAAGGGGTGGGTTGTGGGCCAGGGGCCTCTTTTTATTATTGCCCCAGGCCTATAAATGTTAGGGGTAGCCTTGAATGGGAGTCCAGGCTTAGAAATTTTCAAGCAAAAACACTGGATTTGCAAATAGTTCCTAGTAAGATAGAGCTGGAGTGCCCTTTTGCTAAATTCAGCCCCAATTGCTTTTACCTCTATCTGCCAGGTCACTAATAGTTCACAGCAAATAGTTCACAGTGATAGCACTTGTCCTCCTAGTTCATAACTATAGTCCTCGAGATGCTGGATAACAAAAAAAAAAAAAAAAAAAAAGAGAAAGACTGTCTGGCATAGAATTTAGAATTCTAGCCTGACTCAGAGAGGCAATCTCTCATTGAGGCTTTGGAATCAGAGTTCTGTCCTGAGACTTGGGTAAGGGCTCCTGGCACAGTCTTGCACTTCAGGGGCTCTACTCTTTGGAACGACTTCTTGAAATTTTCTATTAAATAACTTCCCTTTAATGCCTGGGACAGGCAGGAGTTAGCAGAACCAACAAGGTGGGATATCTTGGCTCTGTACCAGGGCCCATGTTGTTCCTGGTGTCCATTTCTCCCTTTTAGGGCATTCTCCCATTCTTTACCATTGGATCTGGGGTCAACCAGGTGGCCCAGAACCTCTGAGCCTTGTGTCAATTATGTTGTCTTGGGACTAGGACTGGGACTCCAGTTCCAGGAGGGCAGCCTGGAGAGCAGATAGTTCCTGCTGGCCAGGTAATATTTCTTTTGTAGGATCACATAAAATTAGGCTACCAGATGGTGCAAATATGCTGATTTGGTGACTCAAATTGTTTATATAGATAGGGGCTTTGCAAAAAAATATTTGCCTGGGCCCCACACAACCTAGGAGCAGCCTTGGTCAAGTGCTTATACAAATGGCAATTGCTTCCCTAATGATTATTTCTAAATCTGGTATCTCCCAAACCATATAACAAGGACTCAGATTCCATAAAGAGCAGGAACCACGAGGCAGAAGGGGAAGTCCTGGGTGTGTAATTCCTCTGCCTTTGACGTAGATGGTACAGTCGGGACTTCCCAACTGAGTGGAGCCTCGCTTTCAGTTTCCACATGCAACAGTGACCTGTTTGAACCCCACAGGCAGGAAGATGGAGGATGCCTCATGAGTATTGAGGGTAATTGGTAGTGGCTTTAAGGAAGATAATGTCTAATCTGTGGCAGAGGCTAGGTGAAGGTGAAAACGGGTGACTCTGGAAAGGTGAAAAGGGGTGACTTTTATAATTCTGTTAGTAAAACCAACTACCCAGCACATTCTGTAGGTTGAAAATAACCCCCTTTCCACCCAAATCCTCTTTTGTGTCTGCCCTAAGGGGCTTGTGGAAGATGGAAGATGAGCACATGACTGAAGGGCAGCACACAGCTGCTGCTAATAAGGTGAAGAGTTGCAGCTCACATTTGCTAGGCATATTACATCCATTATCTGGTTTAATACAACGAGGACATTTGAGGTGAGTACTGTTACTGTCTCCATTTCACAGATGGGAATAGAGATCAGAGTGGTGAAATAATTTGCTCAAGATCACGTAGCTGGCTGGGCACGGTGGCTCATAGCCATAATCCCAGCAACTTGGGAGGCCGAGGCAGGCAGGTCATGAGGTCAAGAGATTGAGACCATCCTTGCCAACACAGTGAAACCCTATCTCTACCAAAAATACAAAAATGAGTTGGGCCTGGTGGCACGTGCCTGTAGTCCCAGCTACTTGGGAGGCTGATGCAGGAGAATTGCTTGAACCTGGGAGGTGGAGGTTGGAGTGAGCTGAGATTAGCCACTGCACTCCAGCCTGGGTGACAGAGTGAGACTCCATCTCAAAAAAAAAAAGAAAAAAAAATTACATAGTAGTAAGTTGTGAAGTCAGGATTTGAACCCAGGTTTATCTGCTGGAGGTCTGTTTGTGACCTGAGGGCCAAACTTCTTTTGTGGGGTGAGGATAATCTATCCCACAAGGAAAAATCTGGGGCCTTGCAGACCTCACTGAGCCTCAGGAGAGAGCTCTTGGATGGTCTCTGTTAGCTGATTTTAAAGAGCCTGAAGTACTTTCAGTGACTGATTTCTCTTCCTGCGATCAGCAGCTTCAAGGCATAGCACACTTCAGCTGCTCTTAAAAGGTTACTGAAAAGTGGGTGTGAGGTATTGACATTTAAAAAAAAAAAAAGATCGTATTGTGGTTCTTTTCACCCAAGCACTTCAAAACCTTTCAAAAACACCTCATGGAATATCCTGTTATCACACTTTACAGAATAACAACTGACCACACTCATTCAGAAAATCAATGGCAGAGTAAGTTGATTTGAAGAAATGGAACCAAACTCAAGACCCCTCTTGCAGGTCAGACCCAAATCACAATCAACTGTCATTATAGTTGGGTCACCCTGGTCCTAGGTGATTCAGAATCTATACTGTGTTGGCACCTTAAAAAAATAACTAGTTTATATGTGGCTTTTCTTTCTTTTTTTTGGTAGGGGGTGGGGATGAATTCTCACTCTACTTCCCAGGCTGGAGTGCAGTGTTGTAATTTTGGCTCACTGCAACCTCTGCCTCCTGGGTTCAAGAGATTCTCCTCCCTCAGCCTCCCGAGTAGCTGGGATTACAGGCACATGCCACCATGCCTGGCTAATTTTTGCATTTTAGTACAAAATAGAGATGGGAGTTCACCATGTTTGCCAGGTTGGTCTCGAACTCCTGACCTCAAGTGATCTGCCTGCCTCAGTCTCCCAAAGTGTTGGGATTACGGTTGTGAGCCACCACACCTGGTCTCTATGTAGCTTTTCCAAGGAGGCTTTTTAAATTGGAGATTTATAGAGGCTCAAAAGAACACATGAAATTTGGCCGGATAGCACAGGAGCCTGAGAGAGAAGAAAACAAGAGAAGATGGAAATGGAGTCAGCAACGAGGCAAACACAACCAGGGCAGGACTTGGGAATTCGGCACCCTTTGATGAGATGCCAGAGAGGCCAAATGCATGTAACTTCTTTCAGGGAACGCCATGTTCAGCAGCAATCTCTACATTCAGAAAAAAATAGCTCAGCTGGTTCTATGGGCCCCCTCTCCCATCACACATGTCTCTCACCTCCATATTCAGAGGCAGGTTGGTATAGTTTAAATCTGGGTTCTGATGTAACTGTGAACTTTGGGACAAGTTATTGAACCATTCTTACCTGAGTTTCCTTACTTTCAAAAAAGGATAATAAAATCCAGCCTCTTATGTTCTATTGAGGAAAAATGAGAGGGCCTGCGTGAAACGCTGAGCACAGCAGGTGCTCGTTGCAGGCTCCTAGTGAGGGCTGCGTGCTTCTCTCCCTCCCTCCTTTTCACTGTCTCTCCTCCCTGCTTTCTTTCCTTTTATTTTTTGAAAAGTGATTGATCACTTTGATTATTTTTTTACTGGTAGGAATCTTAAACTGCTCTCCTAGGGGGAGTATAGAGGAAAAATATTATTTTCCTGGGGCAGGTATGGGAAGGTATGTGAATTCCAAGGCACTGGGTGCAGTTTCCAAGGAAGATAAGGCCCCAGGCAGACCACTGTAGGGAAAGGAGGGGGCCACGGGTGCTTAAAGGGGTGGGTTCTGGGGTTGCTCAAAGTAGAGGGTGTGTGTATGCATGTGTTCATATGTAGGTATTGGTGTGCATACCTGTATATGCATGCTTACACGTGTGTGCGCATGTGTGTGTAGGCTCAGAGAGAGAGGGTTGTTTATAGCATAAGGCTCACTGCTCACTCCAGAGGTTAAGAAACTAAGAGAGTCTTTCGCAAACTTTTGGTGTTCATTGAAGACTGGAAGTTTTTTTCCCTCTCAGAAGTCCCTTGCGGGAAACGAAGATATAAGAGAAAAAGTGTAAAGGCTTCTTTGAGAAAGGCTTCTTTCTTCCATTGTGAAGGAGCTCTCCAGGAGTTCCAGCAAGAACTCAAGGGCTCCCTCTTGTTTTCCTCCCCACCCCTTCTCCTTCCTTTCTCCTTTATCTTTGTTCTCGCTTTCTCTAGCTTCCCCCACCCACCCGCCACATCCCTCCCTCCCTGCCCATCCCTTCTTGGTCTCCTCACTACTCTCCTTCCCTCCTTTTGTTCTTTGCTTTTCATCCAGTTGAGGGATGGTTAGTAGAACACATTTTTATTTCTCTTTTATTCATATTCCAGTACTACATCCCTGAGAGCACTAAGAAACATCTGTTTCTAGCTTTCCTTTTTCTGGAAATCATTATTTATTTAATGTTTTTTCTATGGTTTAATGAGGCTCCTCTTCTTCTCTGGGATATTCCAACAGATAGAACTTTGGCACCTGCTGTTTGGAGATGCTGCAATTTCCTTCTCTTTCATCACCAAACAGTTGCCAACCTCCTTCACATTAGTGAAAGTGGGGGAAAAAAAACAGAGTGACAAACACACAGCCAATCCACCATCTTCTGTTGCTGGGCTCATACCTTGCTGGCCACAGTGCAAGTTTGGTTTTTTTTTTTTGAGACAGAGTTTCACTCTTGTTATCCAGGCTGGAGTGCAATGGTGCGATCTCGGCTCACCACAACCTCTGCCTCCTGGGGTCAGTCAATTCTCCTGCCTCAACCTCCTGAGTAGCTGGGATTACAGGCACGCGCAACCATGCCCAGCTAATGTTTTGTATTTTTAGTAGAGACGGGGTTTCACCATGTTGACCAGGATGGTCTCGATCTCTTGACCTCGTGATCCACCCGCCTCGGCCTCCCAAAGTGCTGGGATTACAGGCTTGAGCCACCGCACCTGGCGCAAGTTTGGTTTTAAAATTGAAGAAACATTTACCTGGGGCATTACTTTTATTCCTGTGTCATAGCTTTTATAATCAACAAATGTTTTTATTTTCATGAATATAGGAGATTGAATTAGAGTCCAAATGGTTTCCAGTATTAAGGATGAATAGGGATTATAATTCTAAAATATTTACAGCCTGTCAGTGCCCATAGCTTTGAATTATTGATGCCATGATAGGTACTGCAGGTACTGCAGGTACTCAAAGCCTTTCCAGGGAGTTGTGGCACTAGGGGGTGCTGGAGTACTGAAGGCTGGATCCAGCCCCACAAACCTTCTCAGGAAAGAGCAAGTGTCATGCTGCCTTCTACATCCCTGCTCTTTCCTGGGAGAGGTGCTCATATAGCCAGCTGATAGAGGGTTCTTCTGTTTCTTTTGTCAGAAGTAGGTTCAGGGCCAAGCTTAGCTATTAACTATCTGTGACACTTCTGGTCAGTAATGTAGCCTCTCTAAAGACCAGTTTT